ACTACTTTCCTTCACCTAAAAAGAAAGAATTTTCAGAAAAAGACTATCTGATATTCTGCACACTAACATGCTCTTTCGAACAAAAAGAAATAAATATAATAAGTGAAGTTCGCCAGAAAATTTCGATCTGTCGACTGAGCAGTTTTCAATCCTTGTTTAGTGAATATGTCTCTCAAACACTATGAAATCGAGCTGAAAATTGTAGCATAGCTTCTCAACTACATCCCCATCATATGAAAATTTTGGACGATTTGAATATACCTGGCGTAAAATCAATTTTCGAGAGGAGGAGAACTTTTCTACATGGATCGTTTAAAAAAAAACTTATCATTAATGTTCATACTACTTGTTCTGATTGATGAATGAAATGTTATTGTTTTTCTTTGGTTATTTTCAATTCTTATACTTGATCGTTGATCAGTAATTCCAGATAGAATTGGTCGTGTATTAATATATTTCTGATGACAACGTGCAAATAGAATGGCATATAAATGTTTACGAAACAATTGACTAGTTAATGTATAAACATAAAAATGTCCAGCATAATAAATTTGTTGCATAAGCATTAAAATAACTTTTCGAAACCAATGATAACACGAACGTTCATGACCAATATAATTAAATATATCATTTATTTCAGCTGGTAAACAAAGAAAAAGAAATGCAAACGATGTACCAATTAACATACAACATAATTGAATATCTTTTTCACGTAATCGAGTGTTTTGAGCTATTTATATGATTTATAATGTAACAAAAAAAATAATAATTGTTTTATAGCTAAACTTACTGCGACTATTATGACGTATTGCTTTACGTGTTCCAGTTATTTGAAATATAATTAGTATTGAACATAAACTCATGAGAACAAATGGAATTAAAACAAAACATATACTTTCAATATATGAATCATAAAAATTGAAGAAACTTTTATAAAATACATTATCATGACGTATATTACAATCATACAAATGATGTGAATCATTGATATTTAACGAAATTTTCTCATATCCATATAGAATATGTCCATTAGATAATAGAAGAATTATTATAACAATTAAAACAAGCCATTTAGCTTTACTTGTTTTACAAAAACGTTTGGATCGTGATGGACAATATATTAAAATAAACCGATCACTAAAACAAAAGAAAAAAATTATTTTTCATGATTCATATACACAATATTAGACATTAGAGTTTAGACAGTTCTATAGGTGAAATTTTTCATGACGTACCTTTTTTCGTATTAATTAATTCAAAAGAAAAAGCTTTACTTGATTATTTACGAGGGAACATTCTCAGGTGTCCGAGCGCTTTTTATCCGGGGTTTCGCGCATCTTGTAGTCCATAGTGGACTGTGTCTATGGTCAAAAAATTTCGGGTTTCTGGCTTGTTTTGGGGGAGGTATCGAACTCCTACTGAATTTTCTTTAGAGTACGTCTACGTTGGCAGCAAATCTATACTTTCCAATTTTGACCTGAAACTTTGCCTGCATAGAGACCTCAACTAGACTAGCTTGCATAAAGAAATTCAGGAGTTTTGAACAAAGTTTCTCTAAGATACGAAGCTTTGAAAAACATACATACTATATATATTATTTATG